GGCTATGGTGCTCGGGGTCTTGCCTGCCGGCGCCTGGGGGCTCGAAGTTGCCACCAACGCTTGAGTTTGGGGTCAGGCAGATAAGCGACTTGAGCCAGGTAAGGCTGCGTTTGACCAGGCTCACCCTTTTGGGATTGAGGGGTTTCCGATGGACTGATAGAATGGGGCCTCGGTGGTCAAGAGGAAGAGCAGTATTCAATTTGCTTTATTTCTGTAGTATTTCCTTAGTTCCCTGTGCAGCGCATGGCGTTCCATATAAGTTATGGAATTGAAATGGATTCCAGGGCCATGCCATTCCCCTTCTCTCATTCTCGCTCCCCCCGCCCCTTGTCCTGGAAGGACGCCCTGCACCGGGTGCCTCTTTGGAGCTTGGAGCAGCCGGCAGCTCCCTCGCCCGGGTTTCCAGGCACCGGGGCTCAGCTGTCCGTGGGCTCCGGTCTTGGAGATTCCAGCTTGAACCGGCGGGGGGACAAGAACCCCGTTCTCCCCAGAGAGCAGCCGCAGTGTCTCCCAGCCAGGGCGGGGGAATTTGCCCGTAGGAGGAATGTTGGAAAGCCCATTCCGGCTAGGAAAGCAACCTTCCATTCATGTCTTTATTTGCCGGCCAGGCTTTTTTTTTTTTTTCTTTTTCTTTTTCCTGAACATAAGGGATTCCATCCTGGAGATACCACTCCTAGAAACTGGATCCTCCAGCGCCCAGAGACGCAGACCAGTCCCACAGGCCACCCTTCGCGAGCCTCAAACCCCCGTCTCAGGCAGCCTGAGAACCCTCTGGGCTTCTCCTTTTCACCCGAAGGATAGGGTCACCCCAGTTAAAGTCGCTCTTAGCTTTTCCGTAGCTCACCTGACCCACCCCTTCCTGGGTTTGCTGCTGCCACCTACTGTCCGACCAGAGTGAAATTTCATGGTCAAGCCCAGTTAAAACGGGGGAAAGGGTGTCCTTTCTTCTCGGTGGCTGGGGGGCTAAGAGCTGTTTGGGGAAGAGTCTGTGTGCGCGATGGGTGGGGTGCAGCGGAGGGGGAGGCGCGGGGGCAGCAGAGAGGTTTTCCTAGCTGGTGCGAGAGCAGCCAGGCCTCAGAGGCGGGGTGAGTCTGGCCGTTGTGCAACCCCTTCCAGTTCCTCTGAGCAGATAATAGCTGAATCCAGATGGTGACAACCCGTGTGTCACCGTTTCCAGTTGAGTCCTAGGATATGAGTAACTGAGCCAAACAAAAGGCTCTTACTGAGCCCAGCCAGCTTTTTGGTGGAGATACTACTCATTTCCTGGGTGCAGGTGGAGGTGGGAGTGGGGGGGAGGGAGGGATAAACAAACAAATGAAACAAACTGTGGAGAGGATCCCATATCCCGCCTGCGAGAATTTTCACTCAAGGCTGCTTATGCTGGAGCCAGACTGTAATGCAGGCAGGTTGCTTAAGGCTGCGTTGTCAGTCTTCTCTCTCCGAGTCATCTGTTCCTTCTGACTGCTGACAGCTCTGCCTGCTCTCCAGTCGCTTCCACAGTCGGTGCTCTCTCTGTGCTGAGCACTTGGGCCTACAGGAGGCTGTGCATTTCCAGGGCCTGCTTTTCAGCTCCTGGATGTCCCAGGGGGCACTGGGTGCAGCATCGCCTGCCAACAAGGAAGGACCACAGAGGGCCGGGACTTGGGGGCTTTAGCTCTCGGAGCTGATGGGCTCATGGAAGGTGGGAACTTATATAGAAAACTTTTCTTCCAAACCTTCCATATGGTAACCTGTTGGCTATTTGCTAGCCCAGAGCCCTGGATGCTGCTGGTTTGGGGTGTTAGGAGTAGCCGGGGTTGCCTCAGGTGGGGCAGGAGAGATAAGGGGGGTAAATGAATGGGCCCTCCTGTCAACCAAAGCCCAAAGATTGATTGAGAACTGCAGCCCAGCCTGGGATTTTGGAGGTGGCCTCTGCTTTTTTTTTTTCCTTTTTCCGCCTTCTAAGTGGGTCAACTTCTCTCTGCAGGTGTTTCCCATAAAACACTACCAGGACAAAATCAGGCCTTACATCCAGCTGCCGTCACACAGAAACATCACTGGCATCGTGGAAGTGATCCTTGGGGAAACCAAGGCCTATGTCTTCTTTGAGAAGGACTTTGGGGACATGCACTCCTACGTGCGAAGCCGGAAGAGGCTGCGGGAAGAGGAGGCTTCCCGGCTCTTCAAGCAGATCGTCTCTGCCGTTGCCCACTGTCACCAGTCGGCCATCGTGTTGGGGGACCTGAAGCTTAGGAAATTCGTCTTCTCCACGGAGGAGAGGTGAGCAGCCTCCACAGCCCCTCCCGTGGCCTTTTAGAACCAAAACGAAGGTGCAGGGTGAGCAGTTAGGTGCCGTGTGTTGGCTCAAAACCACACCAAAGGCTCAGTTGTCCCGGTTCGTTTCCAGAGTGCTCTCTGGAGGAGCCCTGGCCAAGGCTGGCTTATTCTGCACCTTGTGGATGGGGCTTGGGGACGCCTCGATGCTTTTGTGGGATGTCATGTGATGGCAGGAAGCCCTCACCACTTCACCCCAGGATCAGGTTTATTCTCCGTTGTTGTGAGAAAGGTCAGTTCTTCTGGGGGTAAATGTCAACCTGCCCTTCACAACCTTGACTCCCAGAGGAAGTTCTCAAATCCCTGTTTTCACTGAGTGGGGTTTTTTTTTTGTTTGTTTGTTTGTTTTTGGTTTTTTTTTGGTTTATTTGTTTTTTGTATCTGGAAGGTATCACAGAGCTATCGAGACAGTCGCATTTGCAAAATTCTGCCCTCCTCCACACCACATTCCTGTCCCATCTCACTCAGGCTTGGCCCCTAATATTTTCTTTATATTCTCTGGTGACTTTTTGGGCATCTTATTGGGTTATGTCTTTAGAAAATAGGCACACTGAATAATAAATGGAAGTTGGCTGGAATTGGTTGCTAAATATAGATCATGGCTTACCTCATAGAAGACAAGACAGGCTTGATAAGAGAATAATGAGACCTTTAAGATTCAGAATTGAGGTTTCAGACAAGAGAATTCAGGAAGCCACAGGAGATAAAGCTTACCTGATTTTAAGAGGTGAGCCACATCCCTTGTGGAAAGATTAAAAGCAATATTGTTGTAGAATTGTGGAGGTGGCTGTGTGTTGTTTATTTGGTTGTAGCTGTTCAGGTAAGGCTGATCCCAGCTGAACTCCAAACCCTATGAAAAAGTAGCGGTGGGCACGTGGGTACAGATCTTGTAGTATAGAAACCCACACCTGAAACCTGTAAGTTCAGGTTGACCAGTGTCACACTAATACATTCGATAAATGAGAAAAAAAAAGAAAGAAAGAAAAAAAGTACTGGGTTGAGTTACCAGAAAGCATGGCTTTGTATCTGACCTTGCAAGAATTATTGGAACATACCGATTAACAAAGAAAAGCAAAGTGTTTGCAATGGAGAAGTTTCCAATTCCCGGCACATGCTCCTTTGACATGGTGATGTATTTTCTGAAACATGCCTTTCACACCTCTTTACTAGCTTTTGAAATCCGCATTGCACAGGCGAATGTCATGTGCATGGAGTTTGGCAACCCGAGGGTTAAGCAATGGCAGGCTGACGCTAGCGTGTAACCAGCACAGGTGCAGGGTTTTAGTGCAAAAGCAGCCAATCAGGGGCAGACAGTGCGGGTTGAGTCATATTTTCCGTTTACAGAACCAATGGGTATTTTACATAACGACGGGGAGGTCAGGTTGAGGACACACCGAAGTTAGCACACGCATACTACACTCCAGGGAACAGGAAGGCAGGAAGATAAAAAAAAAAAAATCCAACCAGACCTTGGAGAGGAAAAGGAATTGACCCATTAGCCACTACCAAACGCTTGCGTTTAACTTCACAGCAAGCGACTTATTGCAACGGGCTGTTTCTGAGAAGCAGAGAGGGGCACAGGCTGCCACCAGATAGCAGAGGTTCCCCCGTGGGTCCGAGAGACCTGGGTGTCTGGATCTGGATAAGGGGGCCCCTGCAGCTTCATAGAGGAGCCTTGGACTAAAGATTTTCAGACGTTAGTTGTTACCTGAACAGGTCAGCCTCCACTCAGAGTCCATATGCTCAGGTGTTGCTGTACCCTGTGGGTAGGTGTTTCAGGGCCCCTGCAAGCAGCTGCTTCTGTTTGCTCATGTGGCCTCTCTGTCCAGGCTGAGCGTTCTTTGCAATTAAACACCTCCATAAATGTCATGGACCTTCCTTGCACCTTTCCCGGCACGTGATCCGTTCCTTCTGTGTGTGTCTATCAGTGTAAGTAGGAGTGTTGACAACCTGTGGGCACCAATAGTGACTCTGGGCTCTGTGTTCCGTAATGCAAAGTGCGGGTCCGGTAGCTTTGGCCGTCAGCGGTGTGATAAGGACGAGATCAGCTTGTCGGATGCTGGGGCCCTCCCTGAAGAATAGCATCTCCTGCTCTTCCCCGCCAGCTTTTGTAGAAAATGTCAGCATTCCCCGGAGACCAGCTCCCACTCCTGCAGTGTGCACTTGGTGTGTTGTGCAAGCCCTATGAGGAGATATCTTCTTAGCTCAGGCGTAACGAATAGTATTTGGGGCTTTGCATCATACGCTCCAGCCGAGGCGCTCTCTCCATACTTCGCAAACGTCTATTGCAATTTGCACTGGTTTGTGAAATCCCGAGTCCTGGCGATTGCAGGACACTGCTTACTGGATGAAGGGGTAAATGGCATTCCTCGGGCCTTGGCAAGGAGTGCCTGTGGGCGCTGTTTGTGGGGAGGGCTCTGTTTTGCATAGCAGCTGATCCGGAAGTAATGGCTTGTTCCCTCTCCTGCAGAACCCAGCTCCGACTGGAGAGCCTGGAAGATACACACATAATCAAGGGGGAAGACGATGCTCTGTCAGACAAGCACGGCTGCCCTGCCTACGTGAGCCCCGAGATTCTGAACACCACGGGGACCTACTCCGGCAAGGCGGCGGACGTCTGGAGCCTCGGGGTGATGCTCTACACCCTCTTGGTGGGACGATACCCCTTCCATGACTCAGACCCCAGTGCCCTTTTCTCCAAAATCCGCCGTGGACAGTTCTGCATTCCTGACCACATCTCCCCCAAAGCCAGGTGCCTCATTCGCAGCCTCCTGAGGCGGGAGCCCTCCGAGAGACTCACCGCCCCGGAGATCTTACTCCATCCCTGGTTCGAGTCTGTCTTGGAACCTGGGTACGTCGACTCAGAAATGGGAACTTCAGACCAGATTGTCCCAGAGTACCAGGAGGACAGCGACGTTAGTTCCTTCTTCTGCTAATCCCAGAAACCTCAGAAACCTCAGAATTCTCACACATGGCATTTCCATTTCCAAAGATGGACAGGCCTTTCGACGCGGTGCCAGCCAGACCTGTGATGGCGTACAGACTGTAGCCCCTCGGACTGCTGTGTGGAGTGACTTTGTGGATGTGAGCAGCGTGCCCTCTGACTGGCTGCCCTGCAAAGCTGTTTCCCTTTCAACGAGCCCTCGCCGACTGTCCCTGTGTCAGATTCGGGGGTCTGCATCTTCTATCGGTGGCAAAGAGTACACATCCTACAGCATGTACTCAAGTGACATGAACATAAGGGAGAGGAAGTGGATCGCACAATGGCGTTTGGGACAATAACCCATTTTAACGGGGTGACAAGTAGTTTGGGCCAATACACCTGCCATCTTTGAACTTGTCTTCGGTAGCTAGACTTTCGCTATCAGCTTCTCTGATCATCTTCTATCGGTGGCAAAGAGTACACATCCTACAGCATGTACTCAAGTGACATGAACATAAGGGAGAGGAAGTGGATCGCACAATGGCGTTTGGGACAATAACCCATTTTAACGGGGTGACAAGTAGTTTGGGCCAATACACCTGCCATCTTTGAACTTGTCTTCGGTAGCTAGACTTTCGCTATCAGCTTCTCTGATTGGAGAGTTTTTTTTTTTTTTTTTTTTGGTTTGGTTTAACACTCACCCTTCCTTCACACTCATTTAGCAATGACTGCTCCGCTCTGGGGCGGACTGTTTTAGGAGCATAGGAGCCTGCCTGCACCATGAACCCAGACTCTCTCCTCTGTTTCCTGCCAAGACCTCATTTGCACTAATGCCTTCGTCCTGACCTTGAATCATCTCCCACTTCACTCTAAAACAAGCATGTCAGACATGCGGCCCGCCAGCCACGAGTTTGACACGCTTGCTCTGAAAGCACTTACCAGTTAACGGTGAAGTGTCACAAGCGATTCGAACACCTGGCTACGCCAGACTCTGAGCTCAGAGACACTGCAGGTTGTTTTAAATGATTTGATCACTTGGAAACCGTTAGATTTTTTGGTTCCTCTCAAATATATGTTAGCATTTATCTTTTACTTTTCCCCCAACACCGTCTCAGGGTGGAGTGTTTTGTCTAAGAGGAGAAAGATACGGAGTCTCTCCACTCCTCTCTCCCAAGAGCAAACGTTAAACTTCAGAGAACGTGAATTGTGGGTGGTTCTCAGACCAAGCCCCAGAATTACACTTTAACCAACCCCCTCCCGCTCCATGGATATGGTCTGCCCTTGGCATTGTGTGTGTCTGCAGTTTTGCATGATGGGTTGTTGATATTTCAAACGTGGTGTGGTTCATGAATACATCTGTATACTCAGCATCTGGAGGAAATAGCAAACCCCAAATCTTTAAAGTCGGAAGGGACTTTAAGAGTCATCTAGTCCGACTTCTTTTTCTCTTTCTGCCACCTCCCAATGCAGAACCCCCCCCCCCCCCCCCCCCCCCCTCCAGCTTCTTTGACAACTGGGACTCCAGTTCTCTGAATGCTTCTAGGGATGGGAACTCACTCCCTAGAGCTTCACAGAGAAACTGCAACTTGCATTAAAAAACAAATACAGATGAAATACCAGTCAATGTCTTGGACAGGACTGAAATTAGGTGGTTAAACGGGTAAACCAAACATACTGTATTTTGAGAAATGGCACAAAAACAGGCAGTCATCTTTAAGGGCTACGCCTAGGCAAACTACTAACATGCGTTGTTCAGAATGCCGTGTATACCTCATGTACTGTGTACTTTGTACAGATATTTTACCTTTTATACATATGTTCGATATTTTTGTTGTTGTTTTGGCTCTGAGGCTTGTCTTGTTGTCTGTGTCTGTCTGAATAACCTGCGTGTCTAAAACCACGTGAAATGTGAATGATTATTGGCAATATTACCTTGACAGAATCATGGGACTCGGAGAAGAGGGAGGACGGAGGCCTCTGTGGCACTAACGCTCTCGTGGTTGCTCGACTGTTGTATCTGTGATACATTACCCGGCTGAGGACTCCGGCCGGGCTGGCTGGGGCTTCTGCCCGGAAAGCTAGAAACACTAGATCCTTCCTGTACATGTGTATATATGTGAACAGTGAGACGGCTGTTTTTGACTTGTAGAGAAATTGTAATAAATCTGGTTTCGTAAGTAGGCGCTGTGTTGTCTTTTGAGTGCAGCCTGCCTCTGCCTCGTACACTATCATGCCGGGGGATGCAGGGGTCTGGCCTCCAGGCTTACAATCTCCTGGGGGAAACGGAAGTAAACAGATGAGGATTATTAGATATGGTTATTAATATGACTTTTGGCAGGACCCATTCACTTTTTTCCACTGAAGTGGGCAAATTCATGTAATGGGTGAAGCCCATTGTGTGGAATCAGGTTGGCAAGGGTTATGGGTTGAATTTAGAAAGAGGTGCAAACATAAATAAGCCTTGAGCTGTAAGCATCCCTCTGGCTTTTGGTCTTTTTTTTTTTTTTTTTTTTTTTTTTAGGTCAAAGGCCCTTGATAATTTGATGAGGGATATGGACACATCTCAGAAAAATGTATATATTCGTCCCACAGGATTCTGCTGTAATTTCAGATGTACATCCCTGAAGGCTTCCCAAGGCTTCCTGTTGAGAAGTGCCCTCTTCCCACCCACTAGACTTCATTTAAATGGCTAATTGAGGCATTTCCTTTTTTTCTAAAAGTGTAAACATGGAAGTAAAAAACATGTTGAATCACAAAAGTAGAGAAAGAAACGATTTTGACTTCATTAGGTTTATGGCTTTACTATTACATCAGAATCTATTCTAAATAAAGTCAATTCGCATCTAGAGTGATTTTAAAAACACTTTATATTGTAAAGTAACAAATACATAGAAAAAAAATGTACCTATACGTGTATAGTTCTGAATTTTAACACATCGAACACACTGGCATAAGGAGCAGCCAGGTCCAGAAAACAAAACAGGCCTAGATGGTCTGGCTCCGTGGTTAGAGCATCAGCTTGAGGACTGAAGAGTCCCCGGTTTGATTCTGGTCAAGGGCACGTACCTCGGTTGCAGGCTCAATCCCTGGCCTGGGTCGGGGTGCATGCAGGAGGCAACCAATTGATGTGTCTCTCTCACATCAATATTTTTCTCTGTCTCTCCCCTTCCCTTCCATTCTCTTTTAAAAACCCATGGAAAAATATACTTGGGTGAGGATTAACAAAAAATAAAAAAATTTAAAAGAAAACAGCGCCAGGAGCCCCTTCTGCCCCTTCTAGTGGCTGCCTGACACCCCCTCCAAGGGTGCCCACTGTGGTACAGAATTTTCTCTCAAGTTTTAGCTGTGAAAATTGGAATAAGGGCGAAGGCATCCACTCTAGGCTCAACTGGAGAGGCCTAGAGAAGTTACCGATGACACACTCCCCTTTTCTAGGACTCAGGCTGAGGTCACCAGGAAAGCAGACCTATGACACCGAAGTAAGTGCCACTCGGCCTCATGACTCAGGAACTCAAGGAAAGAAGTGGAAAAGGCACATCAGGATAACGTGGGAAAGGCCAGAGGCCTGCGTACGCTTAGAAACAAAGAAGCTGGGGTTGGTCTAGGGCAGCGATTTTCAACCCTTTTCACCTCCCGGTACAGAAACTGATTATTAAAATCCTGTGGCACACCCCAAAATATATTTTTTGCTGATCTGACCAAAAAAATAGGTATAAATTTTGATTCATCCACACCAGACAGCTATTGTTGTGCTGGCTGTTGTCATTATTTTATTTGACAATCTAAGGGAAAAGAGGTCAGTGCCCCTGACAAAATAGTCAGGTATTTAAAAATTAGTCATGTTTTCAAAATTAGTCATGTTTTCAAAATTAGTCATGTTTTCAAAATTCTTGCGACACACCAGTGTGCCGTGGCACACAGGTTGAAAATTGCTGGTCTGGGGCCATCCCATGAATAGGATCCTTAAACCCCAAAGTGCGTGGGGCAGGCCTCAATCTGAGAACATACATTACAGTGTGTCCCTGCCCCAAGGAACTCAGATGAGACTCAGCCTGGCTCCTTGGGCATCCAGCCGACTAATAGGGCTAATGCTTTGGACTTCACCGAGCTTTTTCGTTTAAGGATTTCAAAACACTTTGCAAGCAATTAAAGTTACAACACCTCTTTGTACTGTTGTTACATGCACCTAATGGAGAGAAATATGGGTCAGGATTGGCTGGAATGATATGTGATGCCACAAATCCATAAATTTAATCTCTTCGAAGATTGGAACAAATCTGGGGCAATCGCAACCACTTACATTTAGAAGATTGGAAGGAAAATGTTGCGCGCTGGCTAAAACACGGATCCCTTTCTCTTGTGGCCTCCATGTACTCATCACCAGAGTAAACTATGCAAATAATTTCTCGCCCTTTTATTCATAGTATATTTTCTGGAAGTTTTCTCTCCTCTCCACCCCCCTCCCCTCACCCTCCCAACAGTTGAGTGAAACAGGCAAGTCCAATATTACTTGCTCCGTTTTATAGATGAGAGAATGGAGGCTCAAGTGTTTTTCAGTAGCCACTCAGGAATAAACAGCTCAGAACTGGGCCATGAACTTGGGTCTTTGGACTCCTTGCCCAATGTTGTTTCTCTCTGCACAGCACCGCACTAAATCTCCTGGTGAAATTGATGATTGGAGGGCGGAGCAGGAGGATGGGCGAGCAGTATGAATCCAGAATGAATAGCTTTTTTGCTAAAATATTGAAAAAAATTTTAATTATTTAAAAAAATTTTAGACAGGAAGGGGGAGAGAGAGAGAGAGAGAGAGAGAGAGAGATCGCTTTGTTGTTCTACCCACCTAACATCGCTTTGTTGTTCCACCCACCTATGCATTCTTTGGTTGATTCTTGACATGCCCTGACCAGGGATTGAACCTGCAAACGGACAATGCTCTAACCCAGTGGTTGGCAAACTCATTAGTCAACAGAGCCAAATATCAACAGTACAACGATTGAAATTTCTCTTGAGAGCCAAATTTTTTAAACTTAAACTATATAGGTAGGTACATTGTTATTAACTTAATTAGGGTACTCCTAAGCTGGCCTTTGCTAAAAACGTCCTCAATCTGATTGAGGTACGTTCGCTGAGGTTGACCCCTTCCAACTCTCCCATCCACACTCGTCTTGTATACTTGTTTCGTCTACAACGATTTTTTTGAGATACCAGCTGTCTCTCAGCAGATTTTTTGCATTGAGTTGATAGAGTAATTTGAGTTAACGAGCTCCTTAACGAGCTCGGTCTCAGAACGAATTAAACTCGTAAGTCAAGGCCCCACTGTATCTCCTTTCCGAAAACCAACTTCTGCGCATGGGCCACGAAGTTTCAATCGCACTGTACGTGCACGCCTGCATGTGGTATTTTGTGGAAAAGCCTCACTCAAGGGGCCAATG